CCTAATGTAAGATGCGGATCAGAGAAGAAATTATACATGTGTGTTGCCAAACAGAGTTGAAAAAAAGACACGGCCGCAATGATAATAGCGTCTGCATAATGTTTAATTCAGAAACATGATCTAATATCATTGAAACTGTGGTGCTGATGAAGGTAACAAGGACGACTGGCCTGAAGGTAGACTACGACGGAATATTCTGAGGGTATTATAGAGCAGGCTCGGTGGTAACTTCCTAAACCAGTGGTCAAACTTGCAGTCATACAATTGTAGACAAATTGTCTGGGGAATCGGGAGTACTACTTAGAAATTACCGGGACGGACCACGGAGAAATACCGGTATCTGTAAGATTACAAATCTACCACAAATGGGAAGTGCATCGACGGTACTAAAAACAAATCATTGGCTGGGTTTAAAGAGTGACGAATTCTGGGCTTCCACTTATTATGAGAGAGCAGTTCCTACATATGCCGATTTTCTTTTTGCTCTTTTTTCTTTTTCTTAATAAAACATGACAGAAATTAATCCTAATCGAGGAATGGATGAGATAAAAAACAAGAACAAATCAACACCAAAGAGTAAAATAGCATGTACTTTGCAAGCACGGGGGAGAGAGATGAAAGAAAATAGTTAAAGCGCCCTCTATAGACACCGTGAAGTAAAGTGCGTCGTGTCGTGCGTCCGGGCGTCGCGCTTCAGGCGACGTAAAAGGCGACGCGATGCACGACACGACGTACGACGCGACGCACGACGGTACCACGCGACGGACGACGGAAGGGGCGACGTTTAGGCGGCAATAAATGCAACATGGAAAGGACCTAAGACAGCACGACGCCACGGGCGACGGCACGACGCGACGCACGACGCGACGCGTCGTGTGTGTACAAAAGTAATGGCAAGAAGACGACGGTGCGACCCGACGGCACGACGTAAGGGAGTCGTCGTGCCGTCGCGTCGTGTAGTTGCGTCGCCTGGAGGGAAGCTAAAGAGGGAGAGAAATGTTTGTCGTAAATAGTACACCATACGGACCTCCCTACAAAAGGCGTACGCAATGTCAACACCCTCCGTCCGTGCGGAAGTTATTCGTAGGGGCGGCCCCTCACTTGTGAGAAACAAATGGGCCATGTTCAATATACCAGTAGTTGCTGCTGGACATCAGATACGAACCTACTGAACAGAAGCAGCTTGCCCAAGGATTCGTGATGGATGAGGGTAACCTTCACTTGGGCTGTTTACAATTTTCCTGAGCCTATGAGCTACCAGCCATCGTGCGTATACAATGTTACCAACAACCAACCAGCGGAAGTCCTGTTGTGTACACACGTGGGCTTCGTTCGAGCGTGGAACTATCTCCTCGGGAAACCCCTTCATCAGTATCTGGATCTGAATAAATCTAAAAAGCCCAACTTGAACTGACCATCACTCAGAACACAGCTGGCGGTGGGGAGGGGTTGCTCATTTCAACTGCAGATGACAATGCAGCGCGGTTTTGAAAGCTTTAATGCTGCCTATCAAATTTATCTGCTCTGGCAGGTCGTTCCACTCTCTTGCGCTCTTGGGAAAACAAAACAGTGCCTCGTGCACTGCATAGGGATACCTCGTTTAGCTCTAGCTGCGTGCCTGCTCGATCTCACCCTATAAGTACGTTCCACAACAGGGCTGGAGGGGGGGGGGTCAGGCCAGAGATTTTATTTCAATGTCTCATTTTTGCAGACAAGCGGAAACAATGATGAAACATGACATGACATACATTGTTTGCAGTGGTATTGGTGCACTTACCTTGATTTGTACACTTCAGTTCATTTTAAAACATTATTCTCCCATTAATTTTTTAACTTTTTGTCTCAGAGTGGGGGGGGGGTGTCGACATGGTGTCGTACATACGGTGGTCGGACATGGTCGTAGCAGGTGAGCTTCACGCAGTAAGTGTACCGGTAATTCTGTCCCCCATGGTAAACGTGCCCCAGGACATTTACTGGGTCGCAACGCGCTACATGACTGCCCGGGAGCACACATTTACCTGTAAACTTGACCTTCTCTAAAGTAAATCTGTCCTCCTGCTTAACGGAGTAGCACAGTGATTGGGTTGAGGAGGGCTAGCTGTTGTGAACACTATCCGTAGTGACTGAGTCGTGCGCGCTTGAAAATTCTTGTCTGAAAAACATTGTTTTAGGGCGCTCTACAATTCACTACAGATCACCTGCGGCTCTCGTGCCAAGAGATTTGTACCTGTAATTGAATTAGACTCAAGTGTGTGTTGCAGCCTTGCAGAAAGGTGATGGCCGACGGTCATCAGCCCGTCTCTTTTTCATACAGCGCTATAATCCTTGTTATTCCCGACGCGTGCGCAGAGCAACTTGGGGCGTTCCATTTGTATGTACGAGGACGTAGGAAATGGCAAGGGGAGTAGAACGGACAGCATACCACCCGTATAGAGCCTGAAAGTTGATTCCTGATGGTGCTTCCGAAACCCTTGGATTGGAAGAATAATTTGTACGATTTTTTCGTTCAGTTTCTTCTTAAAAAATCCAACTTGGAAAAGGAGCTTTGGAAAATATTTGCTAGTATACCAATTTATAGAAACTGAAACCTAATTGACCTAAAAGAGAAATATCCAGTCGAAAATCTAAAATACATGAAGAACAGTCCAATCTCGTACTTAGATGAACATTTACGGTTTGAAATTTATGGTAGTCTGTCGGTAAAGGCCAAAATAAAAACAGGTCCCAATATTTCACAAATCTTTTTGATTTATAAGGTAATAAACTGAAAGCAATAATCTACTTTTACGAAAGATTCTAATATTTAATTTAAACTTTGCCGACAACAACTGCGTTATGTCAAATCAACGGCACGTGGAACCCATCGACTACAGGTAGGTAAATTGTTGCAATGTTTTACAATTTCGTTTTCTCGTATGCACAGGGAGTGAAAACAAGCGCGCATGAACAAGGAGACCTACGTACGATATCTCCGGACGTGAAAGGTCGTTGATGAAATTCGTTTTTTACCCATCTCCAGGTGACTTTTCCTAAAATTCCAACATGAGTGTCTCATGGGATGGTTTCGGTTAGGAATTATTCTTCCAAAATTATCGAAAACGATAGGACGGCCCAATGTAAAATCCCCATAGGAGGACCGCGCGAGGGTTCCAGAAGCTCGCTGCGTGACCTTTTACTGTCAAGCTCTTTTGACAATGGAAACAGCATTAAACAATTATGCAAGGATGTACGATGTAACCTCATATAGGCAAATATATCGAACACCTCGAGCTCAGGATAAGGACTGAGTTGAATGTCAGACTTAATTCATTCGATTGATTTTCCCTTTTCTTCATTGAGATTTCCCAAATAGTTTTCATTGTTTAATTTAAACATCCGCTGGCAAAATTCAACTTCAATGGATAATAATCTTCGCAAATTTCAGAAGCTGCTGAATAACTATTGGTCTTGGCAACACTTGATGTTTCCCTTTCCCGTTCTACCGTTCTTTGGTCGCCCTGTACCTTAATAAATGGTATTGTTTTCCCCTTTTCCGATTCTTCGTTGTTTGATCCCCCCCCCCATGCCTTAATGGAAATTTCTGTTGGATGTCGGTGACAGTTAATTCAAATTATCTTGACAGTTTCTCAAACAAAATGCATTTCGTTTGACAGAAGGACCTAAAACAACCAGAAAAACGTATCTGTGCCCCCATTAAGGACACTTGCTGATAGGAAACATATTCAACGAATGGAAAAATAGAAATCACATCGCGGATCGCTCTCATGTTGCATTGACCACTGATGTAAATTCGTGTGAAGTTTGCTTCAAGGGAATTCACTCCGTTATTTGGATGCTTTGCATTCAGTGAGATCTATCAGGAGTATTGACGGTTAGGTTTAAACTTTCTAGAAGATGAACTTGATACAAGCAGGCTTTGTTTTCACTTTATTGCTTCCAAGCTGCCATGGCTTGGCCAGAAGATGTGTATCTTACTCTAAACCTGGAGATGTCATCATAGGAGGGTTGTTTCCCATCCATTATGTTGCGGGGCCCGGACTGTGTACGGACCGCCAATCGCGATGGGGGACTATGCTATCAGAGGCTATGATCTATGCTGTGGAGTGCATCAATGAAAGGGACGACGTCCTCCCGAATGTCACGCTAGGCTATGACATCCGCGACGACTGTCGCTCTGACGACGTGGCCCTGTGGCACGCCCTGGCACTGGTGAACGCCTTAAATCCCAACGAGTCGTCGGGGCTGTGTCCACTGGAGGAGCACGCTGTCAAAGTGCTGGGTATTGTGGGCACGTCAGAGGCTGCGACCAGCATCGTGGCAACCAAGGCGGCCGCCATGTACAAGGTGCCCATGGTCTCCTTCAGCGCTGCCGGTGGCGAGTTAGGAGACAAATTTCGATTTCCATATTTTTTTCGCACTGCGCCTGAAAACACCTTAGAGGTAGGTTCATACTCAGTTTTTGCTGATCTTACAGCTGCTTTCATATGGTCGGTGAATTAGCATATTAAACATGCTGTTTCAATGTTCTAAGATTCAATGTCCTAACCAAATCGTGGAGAAGATCTCAGCCTGCCATAACAGCGATACAAAACCGTAACATCTGGTTGAAAGCCCTAACGACGAAAGGAATAAAGGTGCACTTCTCCAGATAGTATCAACACAATTAACCCAAGCTCGTTGGGGGAAAACAAACACTAAAAATTATGCAACTGTCTGGCTTTGCCTGATGGGTTCTGTCCTTTTTGTTATTTGTTGGTTTATTTTATTACGGTATTCCATTTTGTACACTTTATAAAATGCTACCACTTTTTTATGCATTTATGTACTCATTTATGGGAGAGCTCTTTTTCAGTTAAATAAATTTGCAGTTCGACAAAATCTATATTGGCAAGAAGTCTAACATAGGCCTATATTGTCTCAGAATGATAAATTAATAAACTGACAGAAATCCTTAATTTTGCAAACAAATTTCCTGTTCTGGCAGGTTCGGGCAATAGCGGATATCATTCACACCTTTGGCTGGGTGTACGTGTCGCTGCTACACTCAACCGATTCAGATTACCTCCACAGTGCGCTTCGATTCCAAGAGATAGTGACCGATTATGGAATTTGCGTGGCCTACTCTGCAGCTATCAGGACAACGGCGGATGACGAGGAGGTGGCCCAGGTGGTGGGAGAGTTGGACCGGTACCCTAAGGCCAAGGTGGTGGTCGTCATTGGCGACAAATTCACAGGCCAGAAGGTCATGCGAGCTGGTCAGGCGGCTGGGATGGTGGGCCGCTACCAGTGGATCGGAGGGCCCCGATGGGGATACTTGATGAAGGAGGAAGGCTTAGCTGACATCTCAGACGGAACCATTTTTGTGAGAAGCTACTCGGTGCCCGTAGAAGGCTTTGTGGAATTCGCCCAAGCAAAAGCACCAACGGAGCCCCACGTCTCTCCCTGGTACAAAGACCTGGCCCTGAGTTGGATGCAGGGTGAGAATTGTGCAAATATATCAGACTGTCCTCTGCACGTTGGTGATTCAGGAGGAGCAGTGGTTGATAGCGTCCACGCCATTGCATTTGCCTTCAATGACTTCATGAGAGAAAAGTGCGCCAATGTCAGTGATTGCCCGATCGGCGAGATTGCAAAGGAGGGTGAACTTTTTCGACAGAAGCTCTCAGCTGTCTCTTTCACGGGCGTGGACGGAGAGGCGATTCGCTTTGATAGCTCAGGAAACTCCGGCGGCAAGTTCACCATTACGAACCTGAGGGAAGACACTGGGGAGCATGAAGTTGGGCTGTGGGTGTCGGCCTACGATACGGTCGATCAGCGGCTCAGGATCAGGCCGGAAGAGATTCGGTACGTCGACAAGAGCTGGATTCAGCCTACGTCGATCTGCACAGAGGAGTGTGAGGCAGGATTCATTGTTGTGCCGCTGGAAGAGAAATGCTGCTGGGGATGTAAGAAGTGTTCGTCAAACGAAATTGTGGTAAGTTTCAACAAAAGTTTTGATTACCACAACATGGCGCGAAGTTGTAGGCAACGAAAAAGATCCGTAGAGATTATGCAGCAATCTCGGTTTCATAGATTTGATGGAAACAACGTCAACATATTTTAATATTTTCTGCGAGAGGATCTATTTGTACTGATAAACTGGTGATCGCTTTGCCTATGTGTCTTACTGTAGTGTTGTAAAATTCGCCTTTTGCATTATATGGCTGGGTGGTTGGCCAGATTTACATAAGGAATCAACATACTGGAAAACCGAGCTGCATTTGTAAAACAACGACTCGTTTACCTTAATACTGCGACATTATACTATTCAGGTCGTTGTAAGCTTTCACACAAGAATCAGTTTGAGTGGTTCATAACTGCAATAATCTTGGTGCAAGATGTTTTTAGCGCTGTTGTCACACTGCACGACCAACCGGTACACCTGCAACTGTCACATCACTCACCGCACGTTAAATGCACCACCGCGCTAAGGATGTCTTGCACCGAGACTATACGCTCGCGAGGAGCACTTCTTTCAACCTGAAGATTCCATGGGCCCCTTTAACTAACCGCCTGGCCCATGAAAACTCATTTTTATTTATTCTCTGTCAAACAGATAAATAAGACGTTGTGTTACCAATGCCCCCGTAAAGAATGGCCGGACAAAAGCAGGACCAATTGCCTTCTCATCATTCCGTCCACATTTGGCTGGACCGAGACGCCAGTCGTGGTCATCCTGGTCTTGTCGAGCCTGGGTATTATGCTCTGCGCACTGACCATCACCGGCTTATTCGTGTACGGCAAGCACCCTCTGATAAAAGCCAGCAGCAAAGAACTGTCCAGCTTCAACGTGGTGGGGTTGACGTTGACTTTCGTGACGTGTGTTGTGTTGCTCATGAAGCCTACCTATGCCTCCTGCATCACCGCTGAACTTGGACTTGCCTTGAACAGCACACTGATCTATGCTCCCACGTTGTTGAAGGTGGGTCTCTGGTGTTTCGGAGTTGCATAATTGAAAACAAACGTGTGGGAATCTCCCTCCCCCCAATTTACCTCAGGCATGCCATGCATTCTTCCTTTGCGCAGGATGCAAAGGGTTTGAGACGCAGGCATTTTTAGGAGAAAAATCATGACATTGGGAATAAGATTTGAATAAGCTTGTAGGAAGCATAGTCAAAACCTGCCAAAGCAGCAAAGTTTCCCTGTCCTACGATTAGTTCACCCTTTTGGTGTCCAATGTACACGACGTCTACGTCTACACAGCGGGAACATGTCAATGCTTTCTGCGTGATTGTACGGTGAGGAAATTAGGAAAAGGCGGTAAAAGTGAGAAAGGTGCTTCACTGTGTTTTACTGTTATTGTTTTTGCCATAACTGCAGGTGAATCGCATCTTCCGTATCTTTCGAAAAGCCCGGAAGTCGACCCAGAGACCAAAGTTCATCAGCCCAAAGCATCAGGTCGTTGCCTGTCTGATTTTCCTTACCATTCAGGTAGGCTCCGTTTCCTTTTCATCTGTCTGAAGGAAAAGTAATTTGATACCAAGTAGTTTATGGATATGTGATGGATGCATTTGGTTTCAAATTAAATGTATTCAAGGGGAATAAAGAGTTTCTTGTTACGTGTTTATTCAGTGTATAATGTGATTACTTTTTATGTAGTACACCAATAATCCTATGTGACTGCCTGAACAGCATTATTTCAGTTGGTTGCATCCCTTCTTTGATTCTAAATTATAATTTAACATTTTGGTGTGGTGTGTGCATGATCTTTGCGTGCTCCAATAGGTGAATTTAGATCAAATGAGACACCACTTTCAGTTTTATGTGAATGCTGGTAAAGCGTGTGAAATTGTCCTCACACAAAGAAATACACTCCAACATTCTGTTTACAATTATACGACGTTAGGGATTCGGTTTAAAAAATAAAATTCTCTCCTCCTTGAGCTAACTCGTACATACGATCATATCTTATCTCGTACATACGAGGTGTATCTCGTACGTGCAACTTACTAATCACAACTTTACGCATAAGTCGTACAAGATATCGTACGACTTATCGTCACTATGAATTACCTCAAGAAGAAGAGGAGTTTTCTCACCATGTCCTTTATACAGCTTCGTACAATTACACCACTAATTATCCACTCTGTAAATATTCCAAGTCCATGAGACAAAGCCGAAGTTACCGGATATGGCACTACATCAATGTAGGACTTGATGCCGCCTTATGTCATATTTGCACATTACTGGGCGTTTGTTTGCCACTATGCCTGTTATAATTATAGGTCAACAGTCACATCCACACACAGCACACTGAGCAAATAAAGGGGGCTTTCACTTCAGTCTAGCTATAGACGACGTGTGCAGAGTGGAACAAACTGCAGAACCATGGTTGTCTAAATAATGTTGTGAAGTGCAACTTGTGCAGACGTTTTTCCAGGGAGGTTGAAGGGTTATACATGTAGCTGTCATCGTGAAAAGATGCATCACCTGGCTGGTCTTAAGAGCCACGATTCGCCATGCCTGATACGGAAACCATTTGGAGTATTACATACATTTCCGCTGACGTACAGCACGCGTTGTATTGAGCAGATGACATTTTGACAGCAACTGTCTAATCTCTGTCATAAAGACATTTTAAACACTTTTCAACGAGGCCTTTACATGAAACATATTTCAAAAAGGGATCTAAATTAAATTATGTCACAACATTTTGCAACTGCCAAAAGCTTTAAATACTACTTACTCTTAAAGGGGATCAAACAGTTACGAATGCAGTCTTATGGATGTTTATGAATGATCATTTAAATTAACAAATGTAGCGAGTGAAAAGCCGTTGTGCAAACCTACATAACGAGCCTCAGTTGATGTGACTTCTAACAACTTTTCAGTCATCAGTATATACGCAGGACACAATGTATCCCTTTCACAGACCTTGGGAGGAGAAATATAACGATGTATAGTAGCGTTGGTTACCTTGTCTTCACTGGCACCGTCAGAGATCCGTTGACTATACCATGTCCCAAGTCATCCATGTGCATATCCGCATCTCTAATATTTTTTTCCGGACGTTTGACGTGGGCTCCTGCCAGTGAAATCTATGAACAGCTGCTCAAGAAGTCGCCTCGAGGTATGAAAAAAAGTACATAAAATCAAATTAGTCCCGGTAGTTCATTTTAGTTAGTTTGTTTCTTGGCAAAACATCGCCTAATGTGCATTAGCGATCCCGTCAGCCAGCCCGTGGCTGAAGACAGTTTGTGAAAAATACATATAGAAAAACGTGCGGATGACAAACATTTAGATAAATTAAAAAAGAAAAAACTATATTGGATCGTTTCCCCTCAATCTTATTGTTAGGATAAGAATGATTGTCGCCCTGCATGATGTGAACAGAATGAGTGTTTGTCACGGGAAGAGCGAATACAAGTGATAGGCCTCTATTATTAAAGACAAGACAAAAGAAAAAAGAACAGGCTGTAATCAAAACAAATCAATCTTCAACATGTAATAGTTTAGATGTTCAGAGATTATAGTGACAAGTGAACAAGTGAAAATAAGCATAGATTATGGCCAGAGATAGGCTGGTCTCGTAAGAGGATGTTGTAAGAGGATTTTAAAATAATCATTCAAATATGGTAAGGAGAAACCAAAAGTGAAGGTTCTTTTTATATCAAAGAATCTCCACCTTTTGAGTAGTTTCTCCGACCTAAACCACGTCCCTCCCTCTATGATATCCATATTGTTCAAGAGAACAAAAAGTCTGTGCTATGCTTAGAGCCATGAGATGAATTCCATCATTGTCCAGCGTTGGCCAGCTATCTGCATGCACATAAAAGTTTTACTCCTGGCCAGAGCCGTTAATTGGGTAACTTTTTGGCTGGGAGCCCAACTACTTTTCATCACAGGCACGATGCATGCTCATGAAGACGCACGAAAAGACAAGCAGTCGGCAGCAACAGTAGGGCGCACACTCTCTCTTCGTTTCCTAACAAGTCCAAATGGATTTATATGTACAAGTAAGCTGCGGAAATGTGCTAAATTCACATGCTATCGATATGACTTGTTACAAACAAGTCCAAATGGATTTATATGTACAAGTTAGCTGCGGAAATGTGCTAAATTCACATGCTGTCGATATGACTATTCGGAGTTTGGGACTTTTCACTACCAACAAGCAAGTTTGACGAGTGGCTAATTTGGAAACCACAGTTCACTGTCTCTTCAGATGACGACCTCTTTTACAGCTTTGAAATTACATGCTTGCTCATTAAACTCCCTCGGTCACTGTGGGAGGCTTTCCCGTTTGGAAAATATATGTATTTAGAATATCATCTGGGAAGTATCATACGTAAGTTTCAACAAGACTAATCTGTTCTGTAAAATTATACAATAACTACCTTCAAAGTTCTTTTAAAAATTTTTTAATAACAGAGGAAGAGTTAAAATTGCGGTTTAACCGAAAGTAAATGTGAATTTAAAAGGAAAAACAACAGGACCAATAACAAATACTATATGTGACAATTAACATGTAAATATAAATAAGTAACATGATGGAAAATTATACGTTACAAATAACACAAACATTCACATCAGTAAAATAATGAAAAAGGATGAATTAAAATTAAAATGGGAGTATGTAAAAAAAAATGACCGAGATACAGTAAACATATAAGTGCAATGAAAAGAGTGCTTCAATTTAAATGAAAATCTGTTGACACAACAGAAAATCCAAAAAAATCAAAGAGACCATCATTCTTTAGAGCGTAACTATTACGAGCGTTTCTCGATGTGTTGGACGTTGTAATAATTCAATGTCACAACTGCTTTTTCTGCGTCTTTCAAGTCAAGTTTAATCTGTCAGTTTTTTAAAGAATATGTGGTTAACTGTGCATTATTTAAAGAATGTACAGTTAACTTTACAATCTAAAGAATAGCAGATACTTTTCCGAATAAGCCGACGTCACAAGAATTGTTTAGTTTAAATGTAACTAGAGGTGAAATAACAGATCTCTAAAAGATTTGTGTGAAAGATAAATTTCAAGGTTTTCTCAGCCCTCGTTGAGTTCAAGTCTTCAGACTTTTCTTTCGATGCATCAAGCATACACCCAAATGCCCAAACCGATTTTTTATGTGTACAACCACAACGGAAATTGCAAAGAAAAAAGTGATTGATGGGTTTGGCGGAAAAAAGTTACATAATAAAGAACAGTCATGATTAAGCGACCATATGGAAAAATGTATTACACCAATTGCCCATGAATGCAAGTCATACATACAAATTCGGCTGAATACTCTAAATTGCAAACCCAAAGCATGTATTAGTGTAAGTGGAGAGTTTGAATACAAAATAGATGTCGAGGATGGGTAGAACAAACATTGTAAGTCACTCGGCGCCAAACAGCTATTATCTTGCAAACCTGCTTGAAACAATCTGCTAGAAAGGGAAGACGGTTGAAAAAAATGCCGAGCACAGTAGGCCGGGGGGGGGGTTAGCGTGCGTTTACGGGATAAAAAGAGGTAATGTACCTTGCCTTCAGAAGGTCAAATAATCACAGAATCCCTGCCCTCCGAATATAGTGGCTGAATGGTAAATGAGTCTAGGAAGACGATCAATTTTTACCCAAGGGGGAGTGGAAGTCTCTCATTAATTTTCAGAGGAGATCTTCAGACCGATCTAGGAGGGTGTGGCTAAATGGAACAATCATTGGGAAGAATTTTATTTAGATTAATTAAGTTGGTCTCATTAGCTTAGGGGTAATGTTTTAAAAGTGCAACATGTACTCTGAAGGATTTTAGTTTGCGATTTGTTAATGAGTAACATCGAGTATCGCATTTTCATTACATCTTACAGCTAATCAAAATTTCGGGTGCAGGGCATCACTTGCGAAGGTAGTACTGGCAACATCGGGTGACTGTACTATCGACGTATTTATATACACATAGATACGATCCAAAAGATAAAAAGTACAAGCGAGCAAAGTGGTAGTTGCTGGAAAAGGAATCGCATCAATCTATGATGTATGAAAAGGGGTTTCAAGGAAAATCGGGAAGGGCATCCCACCTATAGCAAACATAAGGGACAGACTGCTTCATGCCTTATTGAGGACATCAGTAGTCTTGGGGTATTGGTAAGTTTAAAGATCAAGCTCTTTTTGAGTGTAAGCCGGATTATACCAGGCAAGATGTGGGACGGAGGGGTACCCCCTTACTTGTCCAATCTCTAAACACACTCTAGACTATTGTTACCTAACACCCCCCTAGAAGTCTGTAAAGAATTCGTGAGATTTCGATCAAACAGTGACCAACACAAAGGCGCGGGGGGAGGTTCTCTCCATCCCATATCTTGCTTCAAATGAGCTGGATCTTGACCACCATTCTGTAGGGGAAGCGGGTTAGCAAAGTGGTTCTTTCCTCGCTTTGCACCAATGAGGCCCAGGTTCGAATCCCGGCTTGGCCCAAGCTTTAAGTGCATTTGGTTTCCGGTCCATACTCGCTCTCGCAGGTTTTCTCCGGGTACTCTGGTTTCCTCCTGCCTCTAAAACTGGACCTTCTTCCTAACTCCGTAATGTGATGCTGATTAATAAATGTTATGAATAAACGTACAGTTATTGGCGCAAATAGCCTGAGATGCTGAAAGCGCCATTGAAACAAAACAACAACACCATTCTGTAGTTCTGATGGGGGGGGGGGTCTTTTGAACTTTGAATAGATGCCTTTTCTACGTGGATAGTGAGCGACAGAGACGTCACCTGCGGCAAGGGATCGGGCTTTGATTCAGACCCAAACACTTTTGGGTTCCACTTCTATTTTGTCGACGTATTTGGACTTATTGGCACATTGCACAACTAGTGCCAATCGATGTGGGGGGATGCAACAGTATTTCGGTCAGATTATCCCATGGTCCACCCGAGATACTATATCAATATAATATAGCACATGGAGACGCTCTACCTAGCTTGCATTATTTTTACAGTGATGCAAAGCTGCATGTACCAAGCTGAATTTAATATTAGCTAATTTAAAGCTTTTCCAAAATCTAATATTCAGATAGAGATATCAAAACTGTGAAAGCGTTGGCGTGTTACACAGTAATTTGATAGTTTATCTCAAGGTTAGTCTAATAATGCGCTGGTAGAAACAGGTCCACATCACAGCACTGATAGTGATCTCGTGGGTATGTTATATTTCTTGAGTAAATGAGATAAGATGGTTGGTTCGAGCCCCCTTTAGAGAAGGTTATTTTGATTGCCTCGTCCGTGGATGAATAGGGAATCACCTTATTTTTTTACTGAATAAATTCTCGTAACAGCAAACTGAGGATGAGATCAAACGGCCGTCGTGATAAGGAAATTCACCGTGCTTCACAATGCATGATAGGAAAAGTAGATCCTGCAGCTTGACAATGAAGGCTGTTGACAACAATAGCGGACATCACGGGATTTCTTCAACTGTTGAGTTTTTATTGTAAATTGGACAGCTGCTTCATTTGACCATCGTTGAATATTATCATTGCCGGCCTCTTGACGTGGTTAATCCCAGAGGATCCTTTTGCTCTCTCTCACCTGATCGTTATTTTTTGGGTTCTTGTCAAACGTAGGGAGAGCGTAGGCGTTATACGTATTTTTGCCGAACCACGAAAAACAGTTCTGACAAAATTTCTTTATGAACACCCAAATAAGATCACTGTGTCTTTCGCCTTCTGAAAATTGAAAGCCTTGGCCCGAAATCGTAAAAATTGAAGGGCAAAGCAATTACCATTCCTCTCAAAAGATGCTCTTTTAAACGTTTAAGAAAAATAAATCCCGAATGAAATTCCTTATTAAATCACTTGTAAAAGGTTTGCTGTAAAAACTGTTCCAGAAAGGTTATTTTTCTGTGATCATAGGCCTATGCGGGTACAGTTCCTTTCACAAAGTTCGATTTAAGTGNGTCAAAACACACAATGACATTTGGCTGGGGCTCTACAATTAAATCAAATGAAAGACAAATTTCCCCCACGGAAGGAGCTGTTTCCTCATCACTGCCATGGTAACCACTGAACAAATCAAGGTTTACGTCAACCTGGCACTAAAGCGTAATGCAAATTACTGATGTAATTTTGATGAAACATCCGATGAGCTGACGTAGAATTCATCCCGAGGCAGAGCAACTACTTCACGATCATTTGACGTTGAAAACGCCAAACTGCTATCCTGTCACTCAACATAGTGTTTTGAAGATCCAAAAAATATCAAGTTACTGATTTATTTCAAATCAAATACCATACACAATACAAAATATTGATGTCATTTCGTTGAGGATGGTGCATATTAATAGAATAGTTTGTTACCTAAGTCTCTGAAATGACTATCATGACGAGCTTTTGATATTTAACCAAAGAGAAAATTTTTGATCTGAAATTCTATCACTTTTAAATGCACGCAGGTGACGTTGTCCATTCTGTCGGCTATTTTGGCGCCCTCTGCACCAGCCGAGTTGATCAGCCACGTTGGGGAGCCGTATATCGAGCTCTTCTGCTCCTTCGGCCCCGGTTTTCTCGTCTCGTGTGCCTACAACCTCCTACTGATCCTCGCCTGTTGCTTTTACGCCTTCAAGGCCCGCAAAGTGCCCAGCAACTATAACGAGTCCAAGTTCATCGCGGTCAGTGTCTACTCCACTCTGGTCTTGTGCTTGGCCGTGGTTCCGGTCTATATTACGGCTGTGAAGGCGCTACAGAAGGTGGCTACTGTCTGCTACGCAGTAATCTTGAATGCCTACCTGACAATCGTCTGTCTGTATCTGCCCAAGTTCTACGCCTTGAAGTTCGTTGGTGGCGACGACATGAGTACCAGCGACTGCAAGGGAATAGGCACTTCGGCAAGGTCGGCCATGTCAACGAATAAGGTTGCGCCGTCCACATCGGGAACCATCGAATCAAAGGCATAATGAGAAAAAAAATGAGAAGATCAGGTGCAGGCTGTGAAAGAAAGCACTGATGAATTATTTTAATTGAAATCACGACATAAGTGCTTTCAACGTCCCCTGCCATATGGTGCACCCATAGATACTTATTTTTTACGTAACTTTTTGACTTTCAGTGGTTGTACGTGTTCGTCCACATCGTTTGCTCTGTTCCCATGTGATTGCAAATTTTATTTCCATCGCATACAAAATATTGTAGAACTGTTTTGTGATATTTGTCTATTTCAAAGCATTTACAAGCTACAGCCGCTTCCCTAATTTAAGACATGCATTTTTCTCAATGTAGGCCTATCTACTCCTCATGCTCCTGTTCTGGTAGGTGAAACAGCTCCCTTTATACAGAACCACCACACAGTCTTGGGTACAACTAAAAGCCCGTTTTCAAATCTAGATAACTCGACGTTTTGTGTTTAAAAATCTATCATCCTGAAGGGTTTTGAATCCGTGTCTCAGTACTTGTACTCCCGTTGTTGTTTACATTAGGAAACTTTACACAACCCTCTGTCTCAGTGAAACTTTGTGCGTTACGTTAATTTAAAATGACCTTTCCGTTGGCCCAATGTGCGGGACCAGAAACATAATTGAGATATCTCTGTTAAAGTAGGATGTAGGATAAAGATATCTCTAGGCCCTATTATTAGTAGAGATATCTCTATAAGGAATAGAGATATCTATATCAGGAATATAGAATATATTACGCGGATTAAATACGCGGATTAAATGTTAACTTTGCACGCCATATTGAACCGTATATATACACGGATATTCTTATTGCATTGGTACCGGTAGCTTTTCGATGCACAACAGCTTAACTTGGCATTATATTAAAGCGCTCTTTTTTCATTTCTTTTGGTAGTATGAAGAAAGTATTTAGTTTTAATTGTGCTCTGCTTTGAAAGCATTAGGAGTACATGTAATGGCAGAAGATTGTATTTTTGAGATGGGTCTAATCAATCAACGAATTTGGAGAAAAATAAACATTGAGTTCTTTTCGAGCTGCTTGAACTTTTCTCGGGATTTGCCGTCTGAGAATTGCGCGGAAAGAGTAAAGCGAATGAAAGAGTGGTCTGTAAATTCTGTTTGTATAATTCCACAGTAGTCTAGTAGGTCCTATAATCTTAGTCTAAAGTTACAGTATCATGCATGATAACAGAAATATTTGTATTATCTGTACTTTCTGTAATGTAATGAAAAGCACTGAAAGATGAAAAAATGTGACAATTTTACACGAGCAAATAGAGAAATGCAAGATCGGAGAGCTATTTTTCTTCCCATGTCATGTCAAAATCGAGCACCAACATGCTTTTAATAAGATACTGCTTGCATGGATACATAAAAAATGGTTCAGTATTTGTACATCAAAGGATAAATGCTTGTGTACGACCTTTTTAAAACTTTATTCTATCGTGTGCGTGAACGTTTAGTCGGCATTGCTTTTGTCCACGTACACCGTAGTTGGGATGTTGCTGTCGTATACCTAGACGCCTTTTGCTTTGATGTAGGTAAATACCTTTTGAGGATTCTACTTTCGTTTAAGTACACGCCTTATCGACATTGTAAAAACACACCGCAGCTTTGATTTATGTACCAAAGGCGTGAATGCATCTTTAGAGGGGAAAAAAGACGTTTTCTGGTGGACGTCGGGTAATACGATCCTCTGCTCAGTTTATTCAGTGACAAAGTTCAAAGATATCGTCTACTAATACTATCCTGGACAAGATTGTTAAATAATATCAAGGAACTAAAGTCTTTGTAAAGTTTGCGTTTATCACAGATCATGCGGACATCGAAAGCCAACACTGCGGCAAAAACCCGTCATCTCCGATTCGTCTGCACGCGCCAAGTTTACGGTGCACTAGATCTAGTGACAGATAAAACCACAAGAGTTGTGTACTCAGTTGGAGTGAACAAGCTGTGATGTGACATACACGTGAAGCTAAAGCAGCGTTCTTAATGTGTAACGTATACTTTTCATAAATGATCCGAATAAAGCTGGAAATCGAAGATTTTGCACGTAGTCAATAAATGGACAAGTGTTTGTGACGTGACATGTTTCCATCTGAGGCGCTGTTTATTTTTGAAGAAATATCCAGTAAATACACAACATTTATAAGAGTTTTAACCATTCAGAGAAGACTTCAGAAAGGGAAAATAAAAAAGGCTCGACAATGTACCTTGCGTTTATTAAAAGTTTATACTACAATAGCAAAACAAAATGTACAAGAATGTTAGAAACAAACGTGTCAATGGTATACATACACAACGAAAAATGAAGAACAAAATTTTTGACCGGACAATGCTGAAAGGTTAACAAAAAAAATGGAATCCAAAAAATTATACAAATTGTCAAAGGATGAGGGAACTATAACATTTGAAAGCTGAAAAAGAAATAAAGAAAAAAAAGAGCAAAGTCCATTACAATGTACTTGCAGAAAGCTGGACCTCATTTACTTCCAGGCAATCTTAAAAGACCTTGCAGAGTCTGAAAGTTGATTTACTGATGCATGCTTCCGGAACCTTAGACGGTAAAAAACATGAACTAATTTTTGAATTTGCAGTTTTGTTTCGTAGTTTACCTCTTCAAAAGTCACCTTCGAAAAAGGCTTTTGTAAAACATTTACCAGCAGGTTAATAGATACTAAAAAATTGTCCAACCTGAAAGAGAAATACATGTATCGAGTTTCCAGAGCTACGGTTACGTCTACATACTGTCAGCGTGTTCCCACGTAATTCCGATTGGCAAGGATGGATCTAGACCTATGGATAACATATTCCATGCTTCAAATGCATGACGACGTGTGAAACTCGCTGTTCTTGTACGCAGATTAAAATTTACACTTCAATCTATAGAAGAAAATAGAAGCTGAAATTAAAACAGAACAAATTACATTTTCAAGGAAATAAACTTTAATGGATAAATAATCTGCATTTTGGAAAAATTTTAAAGTCTAATACTACCTTTGCTGACTGGAACTGCGTCAGGTCAAGTTCTTCATCCTCGTTCTCACATAAGCATATAAAGTGAAAGCAAGTGTGCATAAACAAGAACTAAAAGAACGATAATGCCAGAAGTGACTTTTCCACAATATTATTTGAGGAAAACAAAGGCGCAGTTCTGACATGACTGGTTCTTGGGGTGGTTTCAGTTAGCAATCATTTTTTCCAAATATTATTAAACGTAATAGAAGGCGGCCGCATGTAAAGGTTCCAAAGACTCACAGTGTGACCTTTCACTTTCAGGTTCTTTTACCTACGACCGCGATATGACATGACCATGACATTTTGCTGTCATAGGCAATTAACTCACTGGAGGAACAACCTTCTAGGTGACACCATTGGTGAATGATAACTTGTCCTTTGTATACAGAGGAATCATCATTATGCTGCACTCGAAAACACTTAAATTTGGTCCATTCGAGGGAAATTCGAAACCCTCCGATTGAGACTAAGGTCCAAACGAATTCGAGTGAAATTTGTTCTCTCCATGAGATCAAGATTTCACTCGAGTTTCCATTGGAAGAGGTACTTTTTCAAATTATTTTGATCAAGATTTAAAGCGATATTCACTCTAAAACGATTCGTCGTTCTTGGGTACTCTTTTATTCTTGAAGCATATCCTCAAATTGTTTCGTATTCTCCATGGTTCTGTGATTAACTTAAATCTCTGCAAAGGCGAATTGAAAAATAAAAAGGTGAAACGGCAAATGAAAACATGTTCTATATGACAAATTGAAATAGAAGCTTCTTGCAGCACGTCTTTGTCCAAATAAATCGTGGTAGATGTACCAACTTGAATCTAAATAACTAATATTTTTCCCAGTATCTTTGGAAATGTTTTGTACGTGTATATTAAGTTTTAAATTTGGAAAGGCTTAAAAGATTCACCTTAATTTATGTGACAAAAAATTAAATATGAAACTTAAGTCCTCCTTGGTCTGCACATGGTCTGCAATTACAGATACGCAATAATTTGAAATGTACCATATGTACGCTTCATGATTCCAAAGAGTACAAAATTCACTCCATTCGAGTGAAAACTCACTCCCTCTGATTGAAGCAAGGGACCAGATGAATGGAGGGAAATTTATTTTTTCCTCCATTTGGTCAGGATTTCATTTGAATTTCCACTCAAAGGGGTTCTTTTTCCCAGATTGTAGTGATTGTCACTCAAACTTAATTTCACGCTTTCGGATTTAAACAGTAAGTCCCACAATCCTTTGCGTAATTTTTTATATCAACTGTGACCATTTTGAAACTTAGCCCTTCGGTGGATCAAAGAGGCTACTGTACAGTCTTACGCAAACAAAGATCCACACAACGAAAAAAAAATCTATACAAGTGGTGTCCCCAGAATTCAATATAGGCCTACTGTACATTGAATAACTCGATTTGGTGCACGTATTATTTGCACGTGCCTGAGGCGCCTTTCCATAATGTACGTTTTTTTGATACGTTGCGTGCACGAGGCATCGTAGTGTCACTTTCGTGGACACAGAAGTCGACCCCATTAACATATCAGACCTGGTGCGTTGAGTTCGGCCCTCCAACTCGCCCCAGCAGCGATTTTGACGGATACGCAATGCCATTGGCGCAGTTGTTGACGCGCATGTGGAAAGGTGCCTTTACTTTGCTGCATTTTTTTACCTACACTCTTGCTAGCTGTACCTCTTTTTTCTGCTATTCTTCACCAGTAGCTGGTAAACTATGGGTAGCCGTCAGTACAGCAGCGCGGGACTAATCCATAAAACGAAAAAGAAAAAATCCCACGCAGCAATTAAAACACTAAATAATAAAACGCCACTATGCCAAATTTTAAACACAAAGGAGCAAATGCAATTTTGAAGCAAAATTTGTTACTAACCATGATTGTGAGCTTTCTTCAAATTTGGCATCCTAAACCGTTTAATGCATATTTGAAAATGAAACTATGGTCTATAGAATGAAAAACTGCCCAGTCACGATCACCTTTTAAAAGATTAAGTGAATGAACCATTAAATTAGCAAAGATTGTTGACATCTATGACAAAATGTGCCACCATCTCTTGTCAAATCAGTCTGTCACAGTCAAGTATGATAGCCCGACTCCTGCGGCTTTTGTGCAGTCGTTCTCATTCCCGGTGAGTACCGCTGAAGCTCCACCATATATCCTCGCATCAACGACAGGGGTACATCAGAGGGCACGTGCACCTCAATGAGGCTGCGATTTCCCCACGGTGGCATGACCACACCCATGGATAACATCCGGGTATTGGTGCCGAAGGTCAACTGGTCACGCGGGTACCAGTATTTGGAACACATGTCATCTTCGTAACACACCTAGAATAAACAATGCAATAGGAAACGAGCTGACTTTAGGTTAATTTCATATCAGATGGAATGACATAAACATCTTATGTGCTCTTTTAACTCGATGATTTTTTTTTTAACAAGAGAGACACTTGACAATGGTAAAAATGAAAATGAACCTAGGTTCTCTTGTTCACATAGAATTTCATTTGCAATCTGTTCAGAATAAGTTAACATTACAAAACCGTGATGTAAATTAAGTTCTTGTTAATTTAAGCCCAGACCGGTCCCAGATCGTGTTGCTTAATAAACAGATTCCAAGTGTGTGCGTTTAACACGGCAGGTTTTTCTTGCCGGTCGACTGACTCAGAAGTGTCACAAATGATTTTCTTTAAAGAAAATTTCTTTATAGAATGTCTTTTTTGTCACACTTTATAGTTACATACACATATCTAAGTAGCGAGGGTTTACAGTTCTCTTGGATTGTTTAACTACAGTATCCAACGAAATTTGGGCATGCTGATTCTATACATTTCAAAAATGTGGTACTGTTGTGACACAAAGGTACCCCTGGTGAAAGAGACATGAAAAACGCAACAAGCCAGATTTTCGAAGGTATATTTTAATCAAACGTGATCACATTTTTGATTGTACATCGAAGTAGTGAATCCAGGGATCAAGTCTGAGTATACTGGTTTAAATTTCGTATTAAAAGAAATGTTTGACTTTTGTGCGGTAACAATTTCCGAAGTTGCTTAATGAGGGAGCCTCCGAGTCAGTTTTTGTGTAGTACGTTATATTGGAACCAATCCTTTTATTAAAATTGCCAGTATTTCAAACGCTTAGATTCAACCTCGAAGCGTGTGCATGATGTGAAATAAAATCTGCGGATTTGCCGAGATTGGCAGCTCTTCGTCACTATGAACATGCAGAAAAATCACAGTTCGGGAGAAAAAGGCAAAGGAAAGGTTGTAACAAATCCAGTGCTTCTCACTGATGTTGCTTTCTACCGCTCCTTGGCGTGCATGGTCACACACATCGGATGAAATTTGATCCAATTTTAATCAAACTTGACTCATTTCACACTTGGCATTTGATTGCACCTTCCTTTCAACGTAATTTGGAAGCGGTGTTTGCCAGTATAGTATCCACCTTTCCACTAAGGTGGTTGGCCAGTCACAATACAAGTTGCGCCCACCCAAACTTAAAGTTTCTTGTCTCCCAAAAAGTGTGAAATTGTTAAATTGTTGTTTCGTATAATCAAACTGCAGCTTAGAATGTAATCTTTTCACAACTGAAGACTTAATTTAAATCACGATTACAACGTTTGGCCCTGTTCAATCAAATTGCTATGTTTATGCCACTGGATGCAGTTTAATAGATCATTATAATTAATTATAATTAGTTATAATTAATAATTGTGGAAAGGCCAACAGAATGAGGATACTAAACCGAACGTGGTTTTGTTCTGTTATTGTAAAACCTATTCTTATTTTCCAACAACAAACAGCATCTTGAGATGGTTCAAAGAAGTAAATAAGATTAGCACCCTGTTACAAACTGACTGAGGTAAACTGAAAAAGTTACCAAAGTACTGGTACTTTCCCTAAACCAAACTCATTAAACTATGAAACGGCATAATTAATTAAACAACCACCGACGTCTGGAACAGTTTCAAGTTTGCGAAGAACCAAAAGCCTAAAAAGCAAAGAACCAATACAGTCGTGTAACAATTAGGGATGGAGTTCAGTGGTTAATACACTTGCGAAATAAATTGTTTAAACTTCATTTGGCAAGAACAAAACAATGAGTTGCCTTACATAATAGAAAATATCAGTCAAAACACCGAAAATAAGCTTCAATTTGGTACCACATCAATGGTTTTTTTGCAATTACTTTGAGAGACAGTGTATGTGACGTTTGGGTGGTGTTTTATTTGGGGGAGAGGGACACGCTACATTGGAAGTTTGAAATTTTGCTTTCCCTTCATAACGTGACCCCTGAATTTTTCTGACGAACGGCACCGCCGACTTACAATAACCATACTATCACCGTATCTCTATCAACCAATGTTGTACTTAGTGATATCCCCAAGTCCCGAACTCAACGATTATTTGAGGAAATTAATAGATATAATGTACTTTAGGAACAGAAGGCCTAAAAGAGACGTTTTCTACGAACTGTGGCTCCAATGGTCTGCAGAGAAATGCCGGTGCTGAATTCGATTTTTGCAATCACGCCCAAATGAATTAAAATTCCAGAAAATTGTTCGCTCTATCCTAAGTTTCAAGCATCGTGTGGCCTGTAGTGTTAACGATTTGTTCCTCCTAGTCATATGGTCAGTGGTTCGAATCTAACAGGTAGCACGTTAAATAAATATCTGTGAAGGCAAGAGCTGGTTATGTTGACATAGCCATTTGTGGGTGAAATGGCAGTCTCTAGCTGCAAACTCGAAGGCAGGTGAGATATGGGTTTAGAGATGTTTATTGGCCTGGTGGGTAGGGATAGTAATGATGAACACAAAACAGTAGCGTGGATATGGGCGCTTGGTAAATACACAAATAGAGGATTTTCAGTTACGTGATTTTTGACGGTCAACGTTCAATTTACACAGATGTGCTCGCACCTTCAAGTCTCTCACCATTCATGGAATTACCAATAGAAAATCCAGATTCGAAAATGCATTCGTCTCAGCGGACATGGTACGTCTCCTGAAATGTCATGTTACTTCGCGTAAACGATCTCTATATATGACATCCTAAGAAAAATTATGTAGAGAGCAGACACTGGACAAAAATAACTCGATAGATTGCAGTTATTAAATGTCGAAGGCGGAATGGCACGACCGAAACTCAATATCACAGGGTCAGTATAGCAAGGTATACTCCAAAAAATGCACGTGCCAGACAATAATTTTATCCACGTTTCATATTCAGTTGGACAGTGTGCAAAGCAATTCAGTTTCATTGACAAAACTACACTACATAAACATTTCAAAGATTGTGGTACGTTTTCGACATAAAGTCCAATCTCTCTGACATAAGGCCAGATATCAAGAAATACAACATTTTTGAAATTTATGGTGTGTTTGGGTATAGAGGTTGGTCTGATGTGGTGGGGGAACTTCTTGATAGAAATTTTCACCAAGCTTTATAAAACCTTTCTTATGAAAGTGCGTCAACTCTGTCTGATGCACAGAGTAATTACCTATACTTTTTGGGGATTTTATAATTTTTCTAAATGTAGACTTTAATTTTATTTAATTTTTGGTTTAGGGGTTTAAATGCAATTAAGTTTTTCTGCATTTAAAGGATCCAGGAAATGAATTTTTCTTAGAATCACTTTTTGTGTATCTCTGTACTCTTTTTCCATGTATGAAGACTGTTGGACATCTTTGTTGAGTTACGTGAACTGAACGGTGTACTTTTTCAAACATTAAAAATTTACCAAGAATTTTTGGACAAGTGAGGGCGCTTTTGCTTTGATGTAAATCAAGGAAGAAATGGTTCAGGTTGCATGCTTTCAAGTTCAAATTGTGAACCCCAAATTTTCTATCTGGGAAACATTTCTTTGAAAAGGATTTTTGTTGGATTATTGCCATATACTTCAACAGCAATAAATTTCCAAAGAAAATGAAATCTGCCATAGCAGTGTTTAAAAAAATTTCTGGGCACAAATCAGTGCAACATTTAGATTCAGTGCCTTGGATGACATCGTAATTCTGCTTCTGAATATGGAAATTGCATTAGCATAAAACCAAAAAAGCATAAAAATATGGGTTAAAATTGCAAAACTAAAATTTCAAATAAGGTTAATTGAAACCCAAATGCGATTTCAAGGATTTTTAAAAAAAATTATAAAAATATTTTTATTTCTTGGTTCCTTTAATATTTTGATATGATATATTCCTTTTAATGGAATTTTTTGCAGAGAGAAAAGTTACACAATTAAGAAAATTAGTATCCCCATCGAATTAATTTTGATTTTTTCCCATTTTAAAAGCATTTGAAAAAGTGCCATTTTCACATTAGTATGTCACTTGTATTTGACAGCATTTTCAATGGGAAAGCCATGCCCAATTTATCTACATTTAAAGCAAGATGCAGGACGAAAAACGCCCCAGGCCTTTGTTTGATCGGAATCTCAGGAATTCTTTTCAGATGTCTTGGGTGATTTGCATATAGTGTAGAGTGTGTAAAGGGATTAGACATGCAGGTGGGTAGCTTTGTCCTAGGCCTATTCCTTGCTGGCTGTATAAATGTAGACAAGCTTGCGATCAAGGATGTTTGCAACTTATTAATTGATCTCCTTCACATTCTAATAAAATTGGGCACTCCTTCGTCGGTACTATCAAGGTTGCTTGTTAAAGTGAGTAATGTCTGACTTCCCTCGAAGGATTCTTCATTTGACAAAATTCCAGAATAGTTAATATGTCTGTGTGATACGAAACATTTCAGCAGTATTCGTAGACTGCAAAACTGCATTAAAATTTCAATCCATTGGTAGCTACACGGCCCGAAATGAGACGTGTAGATTTAAAGCATACAAAAGGAGTTCATTAGGCATGATGCTGCTGTGCATATTTTATCGATGAAAATAAAAAAACCTTCAGTTAACAACCATCTTCGGTGAGTTTCGATGCGTTTCATCAGACGGTATAATCGAACAAGCGCATTTAACTTGATTTGCATGTTTTTTCGTTCCGTGAACCTTACGCAGTTTGGGAATGATTGATTTTCCTTTTCACTTCATTAACCTCTTTTTATTTTGTTCTTCACGTTTCTTTTCCTGGGTGACTTTTCAACTATGTATGAAGAAACAAATTCAAGTACCACATGGAATTTATGCAGTGTTTGATGGGTGTTTTTTTTAATGGAAGTCGGACTTACATGCCTTGTTGTAATTGCAATAGGGGCCTAACCCTAAATTAGATAAAAAGTCCTTCCATGTTCTTACCGTGCAGCATGTCAACGGCACGCAGCAGAAAAGCCTCCGACCCACGATGTTGGTGACGGAGCTCGTTCCCATGGCAACCAGGAGCTCCACGTTCCTGAAATGCGTCAGTGGTACGCTTTGGAAGTGCACTGTCTCCTGGTTTGTCGTTGTCAGCTGGTACCCATCGGGCTTCGACGAACCGGAGCCTGTTGACCGGGGTGTTAGCTTTCTAAAAGATGTTGCTAGAAATATTCAATATGGAAAGAAAAAAATGAAATATTCTTGACCCAACTTTTGCTCAGAACAGTCGTTAATGGTGATAACTAAGTAATATTTGATGCATATTTACCTTATGTACAAAACAAAAGGTGCTTAGTAACAAAAATTAATGTGTGTTTTGGTCAATTTTCAAGTACGCAAAGCATGTTAACCCGAACTGTATATATTACACCCATATATCCTCCTCATATTAAAAATGACTTGAGGATTAATTTACAGAGATTCGAGACGCTCGTTCAAATTCTCAAAAAACTCAAAGATAAGTTGGCACTGTAAAGACGTGTTTAAGTTTTTATTTTTAACTGGCAGTAGACGTTTTTCATGCTATAGACAAATTAGAATCATGTTCTCGAGAACGATCGCTTTTACAAATCCAAAGAAAGCAAAAAATTATGGTGAAACTACTTAAAGCCAAATAAATAAACCATTCAAGATGAAAACGAAAAATGGAAAAACAGAGAACCAGTTCACCCTCAGCACAATAAAGGGCCCTGCTCCATTTCAACCATTGTTGAACTTAAATAGTACATGTATGTGTGGCCCATTTGCTTTTCAAGGCTACGTACACACCCTTTTGCTTTTCAGCCGAAAAGAGAATCAGCCTGTGATTGGTCAAAAACGCTCGGCCGGTAAGCATCGGTCCCTTCACTGGGGGTCTAAGGGCTTTATGGGTGCCCCAGCGGTGCGGCTCCGGAACCCACTCCTCGCAAACGTGGAAGTTAACATTGGTGAAGGGTAAGGACTGGCCGTGCAGGAGGAAACATTCGTCGGGGTACAGCATATCTGCATATGGGGAACAAGATGACTGTATGAAAGTAGTGAAAGAAACGGCTGTAACAATAGTCATGAATATTTAAATTCGTTGTAGTAAGTATTGGAGTGTTTTTACAAAATAAAGTTGTTTACAATTTCACCCAATCATATGACATTGGAAAGTTTAACCTGCACATAAAACAAGGTCATTTGGGAACAAAGAACGCGCGCGAGTCCGCGTAGGGCGGCGCTGATAATGGAGATCAATGGCACTGATGCGGCAGACATTTTGGGCATGCGCTGTTGGAATACCGATGTGGATCATCATGACAGAACTTCCTTTTATTATTTTAACTTGTGCCCTGGTTTGGTTTGCATGACCTTGCACATTCTTGTTTCAACTGCTCCCCGAAAATGGCGTAGGCATTAGCTTGTCTCTAAAGGCAAAAGAGTGAAAACTCACTCTCAAAGGGATGAGTCCCTCATGAAATCAGTCCAAAGGAGTGAAAAACCACTCCAAACGAGTGAAAGAGTGAACCACTCGCAAAGAGTGAAACACACTTTACAAGAGGAACCATATAAAGGAAAATCTTTTTCGAGTTGTCCTTTTTATGGCTTTTTGGCAAAGTGGAAATCTCACTCTTTTGGAGTGGTTTTCATCCGTTAAGAGTGCTTTTCACTATTTTGGAGTGGTTTTATAAAGGAATCACTATTTTTTAGGGCGAGATTTTCACCTTTTGCATTTAAGAGATATACATCCGGATTCAATGAGCAAGTAGTCTCGTTCCTGAACCTAATAATCATTGGCAAATTTAATCAAAGACCACAGTTAACCATACCATAGTTCGACTAATTCTGACCTAATGCACTCTTGTCGACGATAATTGGACTAGTCTCGTCGACTATTCGCAACCAATAGCACAACGCAGAGAGGACCAGTTGTTAGAAAAAAACAATGTAATTATGTCATTATTTGTAATCATTTCACTTATCTGTTGTTATTTTTGCCCTCCTACGGCTACTGTTCTCCTCACAGGCCAAAATGACCTGACAAAGGCTGATCAGAGTCGTTCGCACTTGAACGTCACACCACATGCGCTTGGTTGTCAATAACCAATCACAAGTTAACTACTGGTCCTGGATCGAACTAGCTCCACCCTGACATATGTAACTTGTAGATCCAGTATCCATCACAAACCAACAGAACATGACGTAAGGCAAGTTGTGTGACGTAATGCCTGGGATGTATCCACGGACGTGTATAATAAAAGCTGGACTCGCAGTGGCCTTAATCAGCTTATAGAGCTGAATCCACTCGCGGCCATTTTACCGAGCCGAATACAAAGCTTTCCTGGCAATGCCCGCCTTTCTTCTTCCTGACGTCAATAGAAGGGAGCGAACCCACGCATTTGTATTCGGCTCGGTAAAATGGCTGCTGCTTGGCTTCTTTTTCATACAAAGGCGTTGCAAGTTCAGGATTTTTATTTACGTCCGTGGATGTATCTTGCACGTGTCGAACGGTTTTTAAAAACCACCGTTATGCAAGAGTAAAAGGCCTGAATCGTATACCATGTGGAAAAATTTGAGGCAACACAGAGTAGACTTAAATACAGTAAGGATTTTCGGAAACGTTTTGGTCACGTGACCATGTCTAACGGAGCGCATTGCTCTCTCAATAAATCCGATCTTTTGGTGTGTGTGGACTACATCACCTAACTGGGAGGGGTTAATTGTACACCCATTTTATACCTGCAAGGAACTCTCCGTAAGACACTGTCTCCGGCAACCAGCTCCGGCCTTCTCCTAATTCCTTGGAGCCCCTCTCGATCTCACTGCTGACAGCGAACTTGAGTTTTCCGCTGCTCGTGTGCGTCCTGACGACCTCCGCGAACTCGTCCCTGGAGACGGGGTCCAGCTGATGCGGTATCCAGGAGGGTGGGACCGGCTGGCTGTTGATCACCGTCCCTGGCGTCGTGGATACGTGCCATCGGTCAACTTTGGGGGTGCGAGTCATTTGTTGGGCGATTATGACCTTGGATTCAAGTTGGGAAAAGCGAATGGGGTGTGGATAGATTACTGCATGGGACCATTTTTTTTTCAACCTCGGCCTCGTGTGTCGATCACTACACTACTACATGCATAGCTACCCTCTTGCCGTGTCATTTTAGTGACGTATTCAGCGCACAATGCCCTTTTTTGAAGGAAATGAAAACGGCAGCACTACAGAAAGGGTACATGCACATCCCTGATTATAATGGTAAACCAAACGGTATCACGCGAACATAAAAACGTAGACTGCGTTGGGTATTTCACTCGATGATTTCTGTGGTTCTAGACACTTTCAACTCGGAAAGCGCATGTCTAAAGCTTACTCCTACTTCTAATGCCCTTTTGTCAAACCGGACAGCAGTTCCGGAAGAAAAATATAGCGGTCCTTAAACATGAGGTTAAATGAAACTTCCGCTGCAATGGATGAAAAATATCAGACACCAGAAAATCCTGTTTCCTACAAGGACCCTTTGCTGGTGGATATTTCTCCAAGCACTTGTCTACGTACGGTTATCACTCATTCCATTTTGATTCGTGGAAATGAAAGTTCGGATCTTTGGCCTGCTGCGCTAGTCTTCCTATAGAAGCGAGGGTGGACCTTTCAAAATGTAAAATGTGTCCGTGCAGTTATTCTGATCATCCCATTATTGCTTGAATTAAGGTTTTTCAAGGGAAGCTCATGCTTTCCTATATTGTAATCCAAATGCTTTCCGATATTGTAATCCAATAAAACGTCAACACCAAGCGTCAGGGTTACATGCGCAGAGTTGTCGCAGAACCTCATAACTTCATCAAGGCAGGCCATTACTTTAAATAGATCTTTCTTTTTCACAAATACGCACTTGTATGGGTACATTTTTGGAAGACCTTGTCAGCGCCAAAGCAAGCCGTGTTTACCTCACGCTTTGCTACAGAAGGTAGAGAAGTATGGATATTTTTAAGTTGTTGAAATTGGAGCGTGCATTTTGCTGTCGACGATAATCTGGATGGGAGGTGTTTCGGTTATCCTCTACCGATTCTTTTTTAGAAACCAGAATGATAATGGACGGAGAGACTGGAAAACTTTCTCTTAATGAATGCTTCTCGTATGGATCATGCCGTGAAAAACAAACCAAATTCACTAGGGTTGTGGTGCAATCAAAATTTTAAAAAATCTGATATCTGTACGGAGATCTAGAAAAGCCATATCAAGCTTGATGATATAACATCATTCTAGGCAAGATGTCGAAAACTAATATGCTGAGATAATTTACAATAGAATGACGACATCCTCGGAGTTGGATGCCGACATAATTTGATAGTTTATCGCTTACTTTTAAGATAACATTATTTTGTGTAGTGTGGATGATGGGATGAAGTATTTAAAAATGACTTGCTTGCAAAATGTCACCCTGATATGAAATATATCAGAACCTCAACACGTTCGATGGAACTTGCAGAGCTCCTTACATCAGTCAGTACCACGAACCAGGGTTTGAAAAAATTGTACCACGGAGGGTTTATAAGAATGCCAATTGTGCACTATAAGAGCGCATTGTTGTCTGTACAATATGGATTTTCAAAATGAATGGTTTCAGGCTACGTAAAGTTCGTATAGGATGTAAGCGACCCAAAATAATTAAGATGCACGTTGCATGTGTGGAAGCTGCCTTTTGCAAACTTCTCTTTGTCGTATACAAAGGACTGCGAAGAAAGAAATGACAATGAAACAGCACAGGACTAAAAAATCTCATTCCCCGTCCATTGTTAGGCTTTACGTCGAGAAGCTGACAAGATCCAACGGGATGCGGTGAGTCCATATTCATTTTCCTTCTTTTTGGTTTTCCCTACAAGGTTGCAACCCAGAATTTTACTTTGAAGAATCAAATTAGTATCAATGGTATACAACACCAACATGTATTTTCAACAACTACCCGGACAAAGATCTTACAAGCCGAGGTGCTGGCATACACGAATTCAAACGGTACCATTTATGCGTGTAATTGGTAGGTTTAAAGTTGACTTGGAGTAGATAAAGCGAAAAACGTCTCACATGTTGCAGTTTATAGTCTATTTGCTATACTTCGTTTTCTGTTTTCTAATTGATTAAACTAAATAATTAGTTACTCTCATTACAAATCATTATTAGCTTTGAGCGTATTTTCCCTTTAATGTAATACACAACAAGGCAGTCTAGCTAAATCTTGGAGATGTCTAATGGGGTAATTTGTGAGGTTATTGTATTTTGGAAATAAGGCAAAAAAAAAAAAGCAAAACCCTTTTATACTGTAACCTGTGAATTCCATTTGAAAATGTTACATTGGAAATCTCCACCTGCCCAGTTACCTTTCAGTATGCTGGGAAGTAAATTTGATTTGCTAAATCGTATGAAAGCGATGTGTTTTTCACAGCGAATCTGTTTACACTTTGACCTCAAACTCAAGACTATTAATTAAAGTAGTTAACTTTTCTTTATAACTTTCCAACCAAGGACCAGCTTCAGGAGAAGAACTGGGTTTCACAAATCTTTCAGATGTTGACAGGAAGAAGAGGGGGTTTTCTACTCACTTCGTTGGGGTCAGGGCGAAAGCCTTCCTGCCTCCTTCCTCCGTCTGTAGCCATGGACACAGAGTCTCCTGAGTAGTTGTTACCTTCAGCGAGCCTTGCCAGAGGAACCGGCCGGTCACTAGCTGAAGATCCCCGGCTCTCTGCGATGGACGCGTGGCGGTTGGATCGGGATCCTGACACCACAGACATTGCGTCCGTCGAACAGAAATCTGGAGCTGCTTCGACGACTAGAGAGTCAAAAAGAGTGGTGTAAATGGAACAATCAATTACAAAAAAAATGTTGCATGTTCAGTTCTTAGTATTGCGTTGTTTTATGTCCACGTAAAACTGTCGACGATGTGTTACCAATACGAGTGATTTCTTTTATAAAGACCCATATTTCATGGTATACTAACTATGGAACATCTGTCATTATCGCGGAGGTCACTCAACGAGTACATGTGTATTAAACAATACATATTTTCTAAACACAAACGAAGCAATCCCACAATTATTGATTTTTCCCCTTATTGATTATTGTTTATTCAGCTATGTCTGGCTAAGTCTATCAGCCCAACATGTGCATGGCATAATTTATTTGAGGCATAATTTCTGCATAGGCCTCCACCTCTTCACACCTCATAACCATCTAATGCCAATGACGTCATTGTCGACATGTTCTGTTAAAACTAATGACAATTATGATAATAACTTCGGTTACAGATCGCAGGGCTATTTCTTCACGTCATTGCAAGAAAAACAAGTTACGCATCATACTAATAAAAATGTGATAAAGAAACGTGCACGAGTGTTAATAAGACTGTTGCACACAGAGTTGAGACCACATTAAAGAAGGATTTTTTTGTGGACAAGCAGAAACGACGATGAATCATGATATACATTCTTTTGTTATGGGCCTCGAGCTGGACCAAGAGGGAGCGTTCTTTCCTTAGCAATGGAAGATCCTTCGGTACAACTGTGCATCGCTGTTTCACGAACGGCTATAGGAAACGCAAGCGTTGCAGTCATATCGCTACCAACAAAATGACTACTCCCAACCAGCGCGGCTCTGTTCAACTGCTGAGAGGGTGTTGCTTCTCGAAGCGGATCGGTGCACTTATTTTAGCGTTTTCCTTCATTTTTCAACCTTTTTTTTGTCTCAGAGGCGGGGGGTCGACCCCCCGGATCCGCGCCTGATCCTGCCAGTATACAAAAATATAAGTTGCCTCAACTATCCAACAGGACCATAATGGTGCAGGCTATTTTTAAAAGAAGGCCTGTGTTGGGTAAAAAATTCACGTTCATTGTTAAAAATAGCACTGGTAAAGTGTTTGTTTTATGTCCTGGGTCAGTCAACTTTAATTGTCAGCTCAAAGTTTGAAGAGATAACTGAGTGTGGAAGGAATGCAGGGTAAAGATCGAACACACGACAAACCCACCGTTCTCCTTCTAACCTTTCGTATACTCAGGTGAATACGGCGCGAAATCGACACATTCGACGATACGGTGAACGCCAGTGATTGTGAAGGTAATATCTGTGACTCATTTTGCTATAGTCGACAAGCACTTGCCACCATGATGGAGGTACTGTCGCACCTAGGAGCTGCTGTTGGCGATATGCTAGGCTGGATTGGAGAATACGAGAGAGGAATCCTGGGATCGATTGCCGTTCTGATGGTGCTCCTCGGGACATACACCACTCTTGAAAATAAAACACCCGAGTCCCCTAGGTAAAGAAAATGTGGTTATCCACTGAAGTACACAGTTGGGGCACTCTATAAAAGTCTGACACTTTTCTGTCCTTGTTACACCTGACCTATGTAATTTGACAAGGAAATGTATCAATAAAATTGACTTCAAATTATCATTTGTTTGGCAGATAATTTGCAATATTTTATTCACTCTTGGAAAACAAGGAATGTGTTTTAAACTTACACTATCATGCGCTAAATGTAACAAGGACGGGAAACATGGACACCCAATGTGTAGATGACCCGGTCAGATATCTAGCATGCAATAGTTAGGCTGAGATTTTGAACGTGTCAGGCCAGTATGCATAGGCCTACATGTATGTGAAAAGATACAATATGTGTAAAGTAATGCAAGCAGTTCATGTAAGTACTGGTCAGACAACGCGCTGTTAACAGTATTATAGACGTGTGTGGGCATCAACCATCTGCCATTAGTTTCTCTAGGCGCACACGTGTCGCGTACTTAGATCTTTGTGCACAAAGAAGAGTTTTTTACGCAACAACAATTCTTCGGGGAGCTGCACCTGTACACGTGCGTGTAGAAGTTTGTGGAAGTTATCACGAGCCGAAGGGGCTGTGCATCAGGCACTTACAACGGCTTGTGTAGCCTATCCGTAGTTTTTCCATTCGAAAGGGAGGGGTGTAACATGATGATAAAAGAAACGGCTTGAATGTATCCTCAAAGGCCCAATCTTTATACAAACGATTTCAAGAAACGTATTCTACAGATAAAACAGCATTCAGTCTACTGCTGCACTGCAGGCGTCCTTAGAAGTACGGAAAAAAGTGACATTAATATTTTGTCAATGATGGATTATATCGTCAAAATACAATTTGCAAAAGGATGAATCTTTAGCCGATCAAATTATTTTTGGTGTACTATCGCAAAGATTATAGGTTATCATCGCCCCAATGAAAGTGGAAACTGTTGCTGTAGCTTGAACAATTCAACGTACATTTAGCTGTATTATGTATGGGTGCAGACCGAGATTTAAGCAAGCACAAACAGAGAACATGGAGTGTCTAATTTTAATCAAGAAACTGTTTTCAGAAAGAGTCGTTAGTTTAATTGCTCTTCTGTGAAATGAAACTCCGCATATTTTTTTGTTTGCCTAAGTTTCCACGAAATGCTTACCGATTTTTCCTGATATAGGCTAGGACCTACTTGTAGCTAAACAGAAAACAAAACAGGCAATAAAACACAAAATGACAAAACAAAACAAAACAATCAAACAAACAAACATCCCCCACCCCAAAAAGAGATAAATCATGATAAGACAGTTCACGCAGAATGGCATTGTATGTTTTATTGTCATGTCTTGCCATTGTATCTTTCAGGGTGACGATATAAGTCCCGCCCTTTGAGACATCTAATAAATCGTGTTATCAGCATATTTGAAGATTTTGCTGTCTATGTATGGAATTGGTCTCCTGGTCTTCCTAATGGAAATGAAATGATTTTTCCAGAAAGGTGAAAGAAGGAATGCAGTAAATGCTTAATGACGTGTCAGGACCTGAGGTGAATCCTGTAATTTTTTGCTGGCCCAATTTTTATTTTATTTAAACAGGTACCTATCCTCCGGAGTTCGGTCCACAAATTCACCTCTGATGAGCAACAAGCTAGCCTCCCTGCTCACCTATCCCAGTGCGTTTATCATTCCATGTTTCTGCATGTATGTTAGCAGGAACGCCACACACATAAACATGATCCTTGCGACACTCATGGTTATCCATTATTTACAGAGGTAAGCAGTAACGGGTATTTAGAAGGGTAGGGGCAGCTTTAGACTCTTCAAATTAAATTTAAAGCTAACAGACCAAACGGTCGCTTAGAGTGACAAGTTGGGGGAAAAGTGTCTTGCCACATTCGTAAACGTCCTGCAATGTCGCAGCGGGAGTCCGACGAACAGTGATGCTCAGTTTTGGAAATAAAAATACATTTTATAACCTTTTGTACGAATTCAGTCGAAGCATGGGTGTTGATTTCACGTTACATATTGAAGCCACTCTCCGTAGAAATTAGCACAAAGTAACGTTCATGGTGCTTGAATGTTTAATTTGTGATATCGTGACCAACAGCACAATCTTAAACCCTTTTTGAAAATCACTCGATCTATAAAAATGTACATCAGTATAACTACTCCCTTGGTAAAACTATACCATTCATAAAAAAATGGAAAGGTCACCTTTTTAAGCCGCAGGTTTTTTCTGTGTTTTAGGACGTTTATCTTTGGATTACTGTTAAATGGGACCAGCAAAATCCCGGTGCATGTATTTCGAATGTCGGCTACCTTTTGTGCACTGAATGGCTATATGATTGGCCGTTACCAGACCGAGTACGCAGTGTATGACGCTGACTGGTTAACAGACCCACGATTTGTTATCGGTAAGAAACAGTTCATGAATTACCTGTTATGTGACGGAGGGCGTAGGGGGATTGTACCGTTCATTGCACGTCACTTGAAGAGGTTTTACGTGGTGTTTATAATGGCCTGACCTAAACGGAACGGACTCTAGAAATTTGCTTGAATTTGCCTCTTTTGTTGGCTGCCTGTAGCTGTGCCCACAAATCCTGGAAATATTCCCAAATTTCTAAGTTTAACAACATGCTGTTTAAGATTACGAGGGGGGTAGTTATCATAATTAATAAACTAACTTTAATAGGTGTGGCTCTCTTCTTCATTGGAATGGCCATCAACATCCACTCCGATCATATCTTGAGGAATCTTAGGAAACCTGGAGAGACTGGCTACAAAATACCCAGAGGTATGAGTTTTAATTAAACCAAAATGCAGTATTCTCAATACATCATGGGCCTGGACAACAGAAAAGTGCAATGCATTTTATGCACAGACATAACATGGAAGTGAACTTGTCGAACATTTATCAGTTACCACTTCAATAAACACCGAAATCAAGTTATAATCTTTGCACAAAGTGTCGCATTGGAAACTTTGATTGCCTTTTTTTTAAAATCAAACTGTCGAGCTTATTGGGAAAGGAATGTTTGGGGAATCCCTTTTATGAACGTCAGTTTTATAACCGTCGTCAGAATCGGATATGAGGCTCAATCGTTCAAGATTGACCAATCACCTAAATTTTTCAGCCGCGTGACTGCATGCCCTTTGAAATGATATTTGAACGAGTCTTTCTTATTTGCTTTAAAAACGTGTCTTTGTTCTTATAGACTGCGTAGGCGTATCCGTCTGTGAGTTGATCGGCACTAATCTCTGACAAAGACTTGATATGGTTGCACATAAAACACATAACTTGTTTTTCATCAAATCTAACAAAGTAATGAGAATGTCATTGAAATCTGGTGGGTTGGCTTTTTCGTTTTCTTATTCATACACACCGTCAGCGTGTAGCAGCAAAAGAAACTTGTTGCTAATATGAATCGAAGCATCTAATTTCTCTTATGCCTAATTGCTTTCGCTATCTAAGTATACTTCATGGAATCTTCTGGATATTCTGACCTGGTCTGTTGTTTATGTCTTTCCAAAAAAATCCCTGTAATTGGAGGTTCGCCGGTGTTGGGTATTTTTTATAAATACATGTGTATATGGGTTTAAATGCTGATTCTGGGAAGGGAAATACTATCAAGTGAAACACACTGTTCTATAGCGTGGAGCACTATTATCAGACAAAATATTATACCTAAGTGCTCAATGAACATGATATAGTTCGATAACGAAAAGAACTATTACGTATTGTGCTCACTGCAGGGGGGCTGTTTGAATATGTGTCTGGAGCGAATTACTTTGGTGAGATCGTAGAGTGGACGGGCTTCGCCCTTGCATGCTGGACTCTGCATACCGCGGCATTTGCCTTTTTTACTGCCGGTTACATTGGTGTGATCAAGGCGTTTGCACATCATCGGTAAGGGTGGTATTGTTTATATTTCCCCTTTAGTGTTAAAGGAAGACACACGGTCCTTTGGGGCTAAATGTAGTTGGATACCTTAGAAAACCCCAAATTGGAATGGACCGGAGTGGAACAGAACAGAAGGCGGCGAGGTGGAGACACTCCATGGAAACGACTTTCAACGAGTACAGATAAAACGGCTGATGGTAGCCCATATCGGCCAGCTCAGCTGGACATAGTCAGGAGTCATGTAGAACATGTACATATGTACCCCTATTAAATTCACATGAACACAAATTGCATTGATGATGTTCTGTTTCGGTTCAAAGCCACATGTTGTTAATACACCAAACTGTGCAAATAAATAACGTCCATTTTAAACATCAAATATCTGGCTTTCAGGTGCTGTGTATTTAATCTTTTTTTTTTACTCCCAGAAATCCATAGGCTAGATAGGCCTATTCCTAAACAGTATAGGTATTCGAGTGGTTTTTGTCACTTTTTACCCGATAGAAAATAACATAATAACATAACATAACGTGAATTTCACCAGAACAATTTGATTTCAAAATGAATATAGATAGGTTTGGATATTTGTTGTTTGATTGGTACTTACTTCTATTGCTGTCGAATTCTCATTAATGGAAATGTAATCTTTGAGTCATTTTAACAAAACTGCACAGCCCTTTGTACATGTTAAACAAATGTGCAATATTTTATGCAGATTACATTTAAAATCTTGCAAAAGACGAAAACCAATTTTTGAATCATTCTATGAAATTTGAAAAATAATATTTTCATGAGAATATTTCTGTCCTCTTCCTGTTGACAGGACTGTCTTGTCTATGTTAGCCTTTACCTCGAATGTAGTTAATCATTGTGTATAACTGCTGACAGTGTTGTGCACCAAGACAAACTGCGTGCGACGCATACACTATAAAAACGCTGGGCACTTTTTTGCCCAAAGTCATGGGTACCAGGTGAATTGCCTAACTAATGGACAAAGAGATAACCCAACTGCGTAGATTTTCTCCTAATTACCGGAAAATCATTTATCCAACGGTTGTAAAAAAAAACGTTTTTTTGTACTATAGTTTGTTAAACCTAGTGTTCTGCTCTTTTAAGCGATTCACCTGGTACCAAATGTATGGCAAAAACATTGCCCAGCGTTATTGAAAAGTGCCACGAACTCAATTTTCAGTACTTGTGTTAACTGGGGATTTTGGTCAAGAACCATGCTTTGGGTACACGCTGTACATAGAGCTACTTAACATCAAAATCTAATAAACCGTCTGAACGTCACGGACACAAAACCACGATATCTTGGACCTAAGCACGTTTCGCTTTCTCGGTTTAATGGACGAGATAAGTTCACTGAAATATAAAAGTAATTTGAAATGCTTTTTTCTCTCTTATTTCAGATGGTACCTGGCAAAATTCGAGGATTACCCTAAAAGCAGAAAGGCAGTTATTCCTTTTCTCATTTGATGGTAGTGGCATGACTTTTTTTACTGTGTGCTGAAGGACAAAGGAGCAGACAACTTGGAACATCATCACCTTTAAACACACATCAATCATTGTGTTAATTCCGTCTAATGTTCTATGCAGTGTCTTAAAAAGAATCCCATGAATTTCGTTTAAAGAGATAGTTTGGGGGGAAAAATCCCTCTGTGTTTTAAAATAAATTTTAGGTGTTCGCCTTAATTAAAAGAACCAAAAATAAAGATGTGCGGCTTTCCAAGCCCTTCTGATTTTATTTAAAGATCACTCATGCAAATTAGTAAGTTGAAAATATCTTTATGTAAATACATTGGTGACTGTAATAAAAAAAACCCAGGTTTTAAGAGTAGACTGTGGCCCCACACATTTTTTTATTTCCCTTTGATATAACTATAATTTTTAATTGTATCCATATGAATCGCAGGGTTTTATCACACACCGTAAGGTAGGATTAAAAACCTGATTCAAGATTTTTGGGGTTATCTAAAGATAGTAAATCAGCATCCTGAAGCCATAGTTTGGCAGGGGCACTGCAGGAGGCTTCCAGAGAAAGTCAGCAAGGCTGAGCTTACTGAGTTCACTCAAGATCCCACCACCGGATCACTGTCTAACGTTGGTAATGCTGTTCGTCTACAGTTACGTCTACATATTTAACTTGTACTCAACATTATTAATGTTCACCACAAAACAATGCTTTCATTACAAATCAAGTAATACTTCAATTAATTACAAATCAGCATAACCCCATCATTTAACCCGATTAAAATTATTCTCAGGATTGTCAGTATTAAGATTTGTGTTATTTACAACTGTAACATCCAGCATCATCACTGGATCAACATCTCCGCCATAATGTAACGAACATGAATAAATAAATAATAAATCAAGGTTTTGTTTTAATCAGCAGAGACTAGTGATCAGAAAGCCTTTTCTATTTGAGGCCGTAAGATACAAAGACGTAAATGAAACTTCGTCCTTCAACTTTGAGGACGAGTCGATCAAATTTCATGATGATCAATGCTATGGTGCGATTTCTCTCCAACTTGTCCAGTACGATACACAATTATGAATGTGACAAACAATATGTTAGTGACAAGTTTTAATTTCTCCTGCGACATGAAAGCTGTGCGGTCGTTTGGTTAAGATCAAGCCTGTCTGAGATTCCTCAAAACAGACGCAAGGTTTTGAATTCGACAGCTGTGCCAATACATGTGCCCTTGTTGAAACGGCAATCACTCTGGAACGCTCTCACCCGCCACTTAGCTAGAAGAATGTGTCGCAGTCAACCCGTAGTACCACCATTACATTGTACGTGTACTTCCAAGGGATACATGCAAACTGACTCTTTGATGGATAGTGAAGACACGATTTTGAGTAATGTTGAGGATTTTTGTGCTCGCCTTATGACTTCGTACCGTTTGTTTTCTCATAATTAGGCTCAAAGTCCTAATAAAGGCTCGTTTAAACAAACATTTTTTCTTGTGTAAGCCCGATACATCAATTTAAAGTATACATTTCGCCAAAGATCCCCTGGAAAATAGGAGAACCCGGCAATACGTGTCTCAAGGCAAGTCAGAGCCAACGTCACCCTTACCACTGGCTTATTTTTTAGAAGTTACCAAGCATTCAACCACACGAAGAAGACAGGGTTTGTATTGCGCATGTATAATGTCATATCAATTTTCAACCTGCATTACCTGTTGTGAATGTCATATTGAAAACACCCCATGCTCCTCAGAAACGATTTTCTTTCCAGTTAAATAATGATCAGGTTAATCGGGTTATGGTGACGGATGTGACGGTAATATTGCAAATGGAAAAGGGAACATGTTGTGTTAAGACGTTCGGCGGTTTTAATATCCGCCTCGAGCAGATGCATCCCCTCATCGATTGAAAAGAGCCGTGCAGGTTGGGAGTGTTTATTTTGTTGGTAGCGATACGACCGCGACGCGTGCATTTCCCGGTACCTCGCTCGTGAACCAGCGAAGTTCAGTTCTGATCAGAGGGTGAACCACAAAAAATAAACCCCATAGACAGCAGTGATAAATCCCCATACTTCAAAAATATTTTTTAAATACTCACAACTCTCACAGGTGTTCAGGCTGCACAGAAAAATGATGTTCCACATGTCCTCTTTCTTTTTCCTTTCAATTTTCGGGGGGTTGACCATTGAATTTTTGAGAAATTTTCACCAGTCCTTGTCCAGAAAAATAGCCATTTTGAAAAATCATCCCTTGGCAAAATGGCTCAAATAGTGCCACTTTCAAACCCGATTGCCTCCAAATTGCTCAGAATTGGAAGCCTTGAGTCCGGCCCAGAGGTTCAGTCTCATATTTCTTCAATTCCTCAGTTCCATGGCTCTCAAGACCCTCTAATATAGAATATTTTTAGTCTATAACTTTTGTTAATGAGCCCGGCGGAAATATTTCTGGCCTAAATACGAGGGTGCACCCCAAAGGAGCTTCCCTTGATAAGAAAATTGCGCCCTCTCTTAGTCCAGCTCGAGGCCCATACATGCACCAAACTATTCTGCACGACGTAGTATTCAAGATATTTTAATGCGACATTCAAAATGCACCAGCACCATGGCGAGAAAACAACAATTTTGCTGCTTCAGAACAATAAATGATGTGATTGGTCTCCCGTTCAAACTGAATTTAAATGGCTAAAATATGAATCACTGTTCAAGGTCAGTCCTTTGAGATCAGATATTTAAAAAGTGCCAGGCTGCGTGCGTAAATTTAATGTTTCTTTACAGATTCTGTTCAGATTCAGATTAGGCCTATTCAGTTAATTCAGATTCGTGAAAACAGTACTCTGAGAGATATTTGAAGCATACATGGCTTTATTTTCATCTTGTAACCAGAATAAAAACAAAATGAAAATGTCAACCAGTCTGAATGATTCTCTGGGTTTCAATCAAAATAGCCTTCGATTGTTTACGGCAAGTCGCTCGATAATTGCTAAATGTAGTGTAAAAAACGGTGAAACAGGCTGTAATGACAGATGTAGGGGCACTAAGCCATTCCTCTCTTCGCGTCGAAAAGAAATGGCTAAAGCCATTTTGAAATTAAATTTGTTTTGAGAGTTCCGATAAAACCAGGTATTGTTGCCCCAAGTTGGATTTAAAATAACAAATTGCTGGGACAAATCGTTCGCTTTTTTGCCACAGGCAATTTGCGTTGCGTATTTACGCTCCGGTCCGAGGCCAAGTCAACTTGTTTTTGAGTCACGTATTCAACACAACCGAGTCACGAGGACACGGTGTTCCCAAGAAACGTTTCAGGATACCTTTATTTTTCCACGGTAACCTTAACCAGCAGGTTAGGTTTTCATTAGGGTCCTGCATTAAAAATAAACTAATTAATTAATATTAATTAAAAGGAATTGCAAACATACTTCATATAACAGAAAAGCTTAAGAAAGAACATGTAAAACAAAATGCATAAAATCTCAACAAACATGAACTTAAACACACAAAATGCGAACAGTGCTAGTTGAAAACGAACAAAAAACTGACAGATGTTATACAATTAATTTTAAAATGATAATATTAAAATTAAATGAAGTAATTATGAAGTTCATTCTGAAAAGCAGGAAGCAAGAGGTTTAAACCAATAAGCTTGGCGCTGCGAACTGCCTTTGGGATTGCAAGGCATTAAGTTACAACAATTTCTTCGCGTCAGATGTTAATTTCTGACCAGGATAGGCTATTCAATCAAAAGAGCGTTATAACCCTCCCCATCGCGGCTTGACAAATTCTCAAGAATCATGGATACTCGTCACTACGGCCATATTGCTGAGGATGCATTCACAGGATGCAATCTGAAGCGTTTTCTCCTGCCCAACCATATTCTCAATCAGGCAAATGTAATAAAGCACACCTTATCCAAACAAGGTGAAGGTCGACCAGGAGAATTCCTGTTTATTCCTGCTTTGTTTACTGACGAGCACCGTTGATGCATTCATAATAAAATAAAAAAAAGAAAAAACTTTAAATTCAAAATATGCATCCGTAAATTGGGTTATAATCTACAGTAAAACCTTTTGGGGAGAGTCCATCGTTACTCAGGGTTACAGAAAAGAATATCTTTACACATATCAAAATGACCCTCAAAGTTGGTGTTAGGGTATTTCATACATTACTTAACTAACAAAATATACTGGAATATATTTATCGAAATGTCTTGTGTTATAAATTAAGGCAGCGAACGAGCTGCCAAGTGAAGCCTGTAGTAGGAAGAGACAAAATCACTAGACACATTTCCATGTGCATCCCATCCGAAACAGGTTTTGGAGCAATCTTGAAAAATAGGCACAATGGGTTCAGCAGCCAATGAAATCTCCTTTCCCTTGTGGGGAGTTGTTTTGAAATATAGCCCCGAGTAAGTTGAAGTTAGCTTGCCATTACGATTTCCTTCATTTGTTTTACCATGGCAACAGCTAGCGCACTCTGGAATTCAAATAAGCCGAGACACAATCTTATACACTCTTTTCGCACGCCCCGGTGAACTTACTAGCAAGTATTTTTATTCAGTATTCAACCACAATACGTACAAAACAATAAAGATGCGACCTAGGACCGCGGTCCCCAGTGGACATTAAATAAATTCAAAAAAATTACTCATGGCAGGGCAAAGAGAAATGAAGCATGTTTTTAAAAACTAGAGGAGCACAAACAGTTAAAACATTCAAAAATACATTCATTAGTTACAGCAGCATGATTTATAAACATTTTCTGGAATGGGTGGTGCCCAAATTAAACTGAAGTGAAGGGAAGAGCAAAATATATTTATATAGACATGTTCTCACATTCACCTGTTTTCCAAATCGGTTCATTCCGACTCTTAAAAACCATTGGAATCCAAACAGAGCTTTTCTAACAATCTGATTGCGAAAACCTTTATATCTGATATCCAAATGGCAAAATTGATTTCATAATTTCTTTGATTCTCTTTCTGTTATCTGGAGTAATCAGTCCCGGAGAGCCAATTTTCATGCAGATTGATTTAACATTCCTGTGCGAGCTGTGTAAGTCGCGAAGAGTAAGCGCAAACCGAAGAGCTGGAAGCGCGTAAACGGTCGTAATGTACTTGTACAACTTAATATTCACCACGAATATTATAGTCCCTTCAATATTTTTGAGCATTAGCTCCAGCTTATCGTGGATGAAATCATGACTTTCACTAGTTTGGGGTGAAAAGGTGAGATGCGAACCAAGAAACTTCATGTTTTCAATCCAGAGAAGTTTCCGATCACCTATCCTAAATTCAAGATTCACTGGCTTTCCCCTCGAGAGGGATAGGGATCGGCACTTTTGTGCCTTTATTTTCAAACCAATTTCCTGAAGTCGGAGGTCAATTTCATTTATCGACTTCTGGTGTTGCCTTTCGCTATTTGTAATAAGGTTGAAATCATCAGCATAATGGGCTGAAACCACTCTGACACCATTAAAATCATAACACCGTTAATTATCAAGTTTCCTTGATTGAATTAATTCCAAAATTGGGTTAACACTGATCAAAAAGATAGTGGGCGACAATGGATCCCCCTGAAACACCCCTCGTCTAAAATTAAAAGATTGAGATTTCCATCCACGGCCGCATGTTTCACCATTCAGCCGCGAATAAAGGGCAAGGACGTTGTGAGGAATGGACATCACTCCTGTGCTTTTGCGACAAGGTGACTCAGGCTCCCGAACGCATCAGCAAGATCAAAGAAAGTTAACTGAATTGTTTTCTTATTTGCCTCCGCGCGCTGTATTATTTCATGTAGGACCGTATTGTGTTTGATGTACCCATTAATCCCTTTGATAAATGCTTTTTGGCTTGTCAAGTCGATGAATCTGTTTTCTACGAAGCACTGCGTCAACCTCTCAGCTATGATTTGATGCCAAACTTTGCCGATATTTGAAGTGAGCAAGATCATCCGAAAATTTCTAGCTTGTCCGTATCACCCGCTTTATAGAATGAGGGAGACCCCTGACTCCGACCAGCAATCCGGGGGTCACTGGGTGCAGCATCATCTTATTGTACAAGGTAGCAAGGAAATGATGCGTACAGTGTAGATGTTTCAGCATTCCATATACATCAGTCCATCATTGCCTAGGGACGATTTCCCCTTCTTGACGATCAGAACCTGTTTCACATCCGTGGGTTTGATGGCAGTTAAGTTGCAGAAGATGTAAGAATCATTGGCCTTGGTATTAATGTACGGAACTAGTTGAAGGCAGACGGCATTTTCAAAGTGTCCATGGTCGAGTTCGGGCGGCTTGTTCTTGACACGGGTTTCTTGTTCTCGCGCTCGAACGGCAGGAACACTACTCAAGAACACTCTTCCAGGAAAAGGCTCACACATCACCTCCTCGTCTGTTTTTTTAGGAACACACAGAAAACCTCATGAGATTTTGATTTTTAAACAGCCACAAACTTAGCGAGATGGCTTACAAA